TTTTTATTTTTTGTAGTGACAGGGTCTCACCATGTTGCCTAGGCTGGTCTCCAACTCCTGGCCTCAAGTGGTCCTCCTACCTCAGCCTTCCAAAATCTTGGGGTTACAGGTGTGAGCCACTGCACCCAGCTATTTATGAGCCCTTAATTTCACATTAGCACCTTTTAAAATAATAATTTATCTGATGAAAGTTCTTATTTACTCCTGCTCATCTCATCTATAAATAATGCCTTATGAATCATGTCCTTAGTTGTAGATAATTTAAATGGGGTTTTATTTCTTTTCCAGAGACCTTTTGCCTGAAGATTTTGTAGTTTATACCTATAATAAGGAAGGGACTCTAATCACTGACCATCCCAATATACAGGTAATATGTTTTCCTCTTGATTCCATAGCAATTTTTAAAACAGTTATAATTTAAAAATGAGTTCTTTGTAGGGACTCAGGACTGTTACATTGCACAGCCCCATGGGGCACCTTTAACGTTATAACATGTAGGTTATCCTGGGAAAAGTGAGTGCCTCTATATAGAGTAAACTGTACTTTACAGCTCTCCAGGTACTCAGTAATTAAGGTTATTTCTTAAAGACTAGGAAAATCAATCTTTTATTTAATGGTAATCCTTACTGATGAAGGGAAAAATTTGGTATGTTTTGAAAATAGGAGTTTTTGATTTTTGTGTTGAAAGTTAATATCTCTAAAAATGCACTTACTAAAACATTTAATTTATCATTAATATGTAGTAAATAAAACCATTCATTTGCTGTTATGTGTTCTAATGTTCTAAATTTTTGCTGAAAATAATTCTTTCCTAAAAGAGGTGTGGTCCTCTCTGTATCAGAGAACAGAGTACTCTTGGGGACAGAGCTGGCCAGAATACTCAAAATAATTGGCAGATGTCAAAATTGGCTTTGTGTGTTTATTACTAGAGGATAAACATTTCTAGTTTTGTTTGAGTGTTTTACAGTCCTTTTGGCAGTTAGGTAGTATACATTTTTTTCTTTTGTAGTGGTTTTCATGAGAAAACTTTATTCCCATTACATTTTTTTTTCTTCTGAACTTTGTAATACTTTGTTAGGTTGAATTGTTTCTGTTGGTTGTGCACTTTTGCAGCATTCCTAAAATAAATAGGAGGCAAAAAAACCTTTATTTTGGATTAATTATTAGTACTTACAAAAGCCAAGGAAATGCTGACTTAGGCCTATCCTCTTCCGGTCCACTATCTGATTTCTTTATCTTAGTCCATCATTGGTCTGTTGTTTAATAGAAAATTAGTAGAGGAGTTTGAATTCACCTTACAGCATAAACCAGATAAAAAAATAACCCATCCATCCAGTCATGCATCCAACAATTACCAAGGCAGAAGGCCAAAGACCACATAATTTGTGTCACTTGACAAAAATAGTCATGTTAAAAGGCATACTCTTCCTTGTAGAGCTTTCTTGGCATACTTTCTTCAGACATACCCAGTTTGGGCTTGAATTTTGATTCATTATTTGCTGGCAAAGTTACTTTAGTCTGTTTGTGCCTTAGTATCTTCACTTTAAAATGGAGTAATACTTACCACTGTATGGAAACTTAACTGAGTTAATACTTGTAAGATGCTTATAACAGTCAGTCTGGCAATTTTTAACTCAATGAATATTATTATTTGTTGCTGTTATTGAAAGTATATGTTCTTAAAACTGCTAAAAATAGATTTTAATTATATAGAAACTTACATAAGTATTATCTTACATAATTCTTAAGTATCATAAGTATGATTGAGTTGTTATGTTGGGTGTTTGAAAAATGTCAGTTAAGACAGATGGAGTCTCACTTATTTCTTAGTTATTTAATATTGTTCAGGTAGATGAAAGTGTGATTGTAGATTTCAAATACAAATTAAAACTTTGATACTTTGATTTTTTTAAACATGGCCAGATTGTCAAATATAATGACATATACTTTTGTCCATAAAATGAAATTAAGTTTCTCTGAAAAATTTACGTACTTCCCCCTAGGGACTCTATTGCTGAAGATAAAAGTTTATAAAGCATCATTCAGTGTCTTCCACAGGACCATTTTACACAAACACAGTTTTAGAGAATTGTCAGCCAGCTGCTGTTGGCTTCTTGGACTGACTGTGATTTAAAATGTTAAAGATGACATAATGCATGTTGTCCTGCTTCTAGGCTGAAAGGTCGTTGAGGCAGAGCTGTTTGTACCTTGTATCCCCTGGAATTCTGCCTAAACATTTGTGTACTTGTAGGGTGGTAGGAGATAGTCTGCAGATGGTCTAAAGAATGCCATGTGATACTATGAGATGCCAATAATATAAATAAAACTTTTTAGTTGACTGGCCTTAAGTAATTTTGTTAGCTCTGCAATTTCTTTGTTGATTTTCAGCAAGATAGCAATATTTGAAGATAATACAGTATTTTCCATTTAGAATCATTGTCATTATCGGGGCTATGTGGAGGGAGTTTATAATTCGTCTGTTGCTCTTAGCGACTGTTTTGGACTCAGGTAAGCAATTTCCTCTATCTTTTTTTTTCTTTTCCCTATATCTTATCCTTTTTCCTATTTCTGTCTCCAGATTAAATCATTGTGGGCACTTAGCAAAATTGGAATTTAATTTGATGTTACTGAACATTTTTATAGCTGTGTTTCACATATCCTTGGCATGTTTATTTAAGAAAGTATTATAGTTGATTAGTTTTAATATGTGAAGAGGAAATTTGTTTTGAGAACACTAAATAATTTTTGCTATTTAAAATAAAATATACTTTAAATTTCTGTAGCACTTTATATTTATAAAATTTTCACTTTGTATTATTTGAGACTTGTATTTAAGTCTCATTATGACTGTGAATAAGAGCTCATTATCTCCATATTTAGGTGAGCAAACTGAGGTTCAGATAACATATTACACTTCAAATTAAGTTATTATAGTATTAAAATTATATTCCTTGAGGTCATGCAATGTGCTGATTGGTTGATTATGTGATTGATTGAACTAATAAATATTAGTCCTATATAAGATGGATATGATTATCTTCACTTAAGTACCAACACTTATTTAGTAGTTACTGTGGACCAGGCAATATATTCTGTGTGTTTTGTGCTTATTAAGTAATTTTGTTTTCAGAACAATCCTATGCAGTGTGTAAACCAAGGCAGAGGTTAAATACCTCACTGAGAGTCCTGCAGCTAATAGAAAACATTTGGAATTCAAACTCTGGTTCTCTGTTTCAGATGCTGCATTCTTAGCCACCACTTTGTAGTGCCTTCCATTTCCCGTAGATCACTCAGGGAGGTTAAGTAACTTAACAGCAGTGATGCTGCTAAGTAACTTTCAATTTAGGTCCGCCCTAGCCCCATCTGTCTGATTCTAAAGCCTCTATTTTTTTCTCTATATCATGCTACGCCTACTTACATATTTAAGAAGTAGGACTTGAACTTAGGTTTTCTGATTCCTTGTGTATCTTGTTTTTCTTAAAATTTGTGTATGTGTAATACAACGTTCAGAGGATTGCTGCATTTAGAGAATGCGAGCTATGGAATTGAACCCCTGCAGAACAGCTCTCATTTTGAGCACATTGTTTACCGAATGGATGATGTCCACAAAGAGCCTCTGAAATGTGGAGTTTCCAACAAAGATATAGAGAAAGAAACCACAAAGGATGAAGAGGAAGAGTTTCCCAGCATGACTCAGCTACTTCGAGTAAGGAAATAACATAATTCTTCATTGCTTAGACTACCATTTTAGAAAAATCATGTATTTATTCATGAAACCAATATTATGATTAGTGTTTTCTTTTCTTAATTTTGTGAAATATATGCCAGACATTGCGATACATACTAGAGGATGAAAATATGAGCAATATACAGTTCCTGCTACCAAGTTAAGTACAGTTTAGATTCTGCGGGTTTTGGAAACTAGGTCTTAAATCTGCAACAGTTATCCTATTTAGTATTGCTACATATTGGTCCATTACACTGTCCTTTTTTTTTTTTTTTTTTTGAGGCAGGGTCTTGCCTGTGGTCCAGGCTGGAGTGCAGTGGTGTGATCATGGCTCACTGTGGCCTTGACCTCCTGGGTTCAAGCAATCCTTCTGCCTCAGCCTCCTAGTAGCTAGTACTACAGGTGTGTGCCACCCACCATGCCTGGCTAATTTAAAAAAATTTTTGTAGAGATGAGGTCTCATTATGTTACCCAGGCCGGTCTTGAACTCCTGGCATTAAGCAATCCTCCCGCCTCAGCTTCCCAAAGTGCTGGGATTACAGGCGTAAGCCAGTGTACCCAGTGCAAATAGACTTTTTATGTACGTACCTCTTAGACAACTCGAATGATGATTCTTGAACCCTAGATTAAAGAAAGAGAAAGATATAGCTTTAGAACTTTAATGACTTCAGGTATGTTTTAAGGACACTCTCATCCCTATTTGGAGACTGCTATAGCATTTCATGATATACTCTTGACGTGGGTCTCTTAGACTGAAATGATTCTAGGACTAGATCAACTTCAGTTGCAGGGATTGTACCTTTCCACATAAGAGATGATGTTGCTGCCATGAAAGAAGCATATTTTTAATTAACTCATACTAGTTTATGCCATTATTTTTATTGCCTCTCCTGCTATCCACTCATTTGACTGTTGGACTGTTCTTTTTAACTTTAAACATTGGAAAACTTAAAAAATTTTGCTTATTCTACTTTGCATGAATTTTTGTAAAATGACAAAACTAGTTGTTTTTGAAAATGGCAACCTTGTTCTAACTTATGCTCTGGGATATTAGTGGATATGTTTTTTTTATCTCTCATTGTAGTAATGGGGTTTTTCATTAAAATATGTATGTGCACGCACGCGTGTGTGTGTGTGCATGCGTGTGTGTGTGTAATTTTGATTTTAGAAAATTGGTAATTATGCTTTGTAAACTTAAGAAACCCATTTATCTGTAGCATTTTTCTCCTATCAGTGCAGATAACAGCAGCTAACACTTCAAAAACATTTTTTTCCCCCTCAGACAGTTTATCATCACTTAAAGTCAGTAACAGAACTGGGCAAAGTTTTATCACTAAGAAGCAGATAACATTTCAAAAAACATGTTTTTCACTTTATCGATCTAGGATATGTTAAGCATGTTCTTAGCAGACATGAAATAGTGATGAGAGATTAGGATGTGACCATAGTCTTATAACTTTCTTTTGCCTTTATGCTGTTTGTGTTTTGACAGAGAAGAAGAGCTGTCTTGCCACAGACCCGGTATGTGGAGCTGTTCATTGTCGTAGACAAGGAAAGGGTAAGATTGATGACAGTTTCTCTTTTTTTTCATGAAAAGCATCTAATGAAGGAAATATAAACTACAGTTTGTTTGTATTTTACTTAAATGATGATTGTAAAACTAAAATTTTTTTTCCCTTAAACCTTATACCAGCAGAATACCACCAGAATACCAACAGAAGCTAAGGGTAGCAAATGTGACTGCCTTTAACTTTATCTTTTATTAATGATTTGTTTTTCTTGTTCTTGCTGATGACTTGCTTATGCTAAATTTTTTGAGTGAATCTGTACTGCCTATCAGGTTCTTGAGAACTTTTCAGATTACTTTAATGGGCTATGGCTATAAAAGGTTTGGCTTCCTTGGCTAATCAGATTGCTTTGCTTTCTAGAATTTCAGATAACCTATATTGCACTTTAAGAGACGGAAAACCTCCGGGTCCTGGCATGCTTTGGAAGGGAATAGTATTAATTTCAGTGTACAGGATCACATGAGGGCATTTTCTTTATTTATACTTAAGAAACAGAACTAAGTGCTTTGCTTTAACTAAGAGAAGTAACGTGTCCCTATTGGCATTTATAGGATTATCAGTTTTAGAGATAATGGCTGTATAATTTATTTATTTATTTTCTTGTTGCTTTTAAAAATTGATATATAATACTTCACATATTTATCAGGTACAAATAAGTATTTGATACAACAGCTATGTAATTTAAAATAGTATTGAAGTGTTTTGTTTGACTTTTACTTCCAACTTTGTCGTTAGTGTGAAAAAGTTATTAGTGGAAACTTATATTATGGCAGTTTCTTTCTTGCAAACTGTACAGAAACTGTACAGGAAACTGTACAGCTATGAGGTTTTTTTTGTTTTGGTTTTAATAAAATTCCTTGTTGTATGTAGGTTGGAAAATAACAAGCCATCCCGAATAAATAATTTGGAGAAAATATTATTAAGAGATAGACTCGGATTTGTACATTATAGGTTCATTGCCCTCAAGTAGTAGAAGGAAAGCACATGGAATATGAGCAAGTGTGAACTCTGCCCCAAGCAGTGGGTAAAAAGCTTCCGTAGACTGTTTTGAACAAGTCACAAAAACCAAGATTCAAAATGTTTTTCTTCATTGCTGTTTCCAGAAATATTTGTTATATACAGTTAGAAAATGGTTAAAAAAAATGGTTCAATTTCAATCAAGTCCTGTTAAATGTATTAAATTATTTTTTTTTCTTGTTTAGGAGAATCATGATTAGATCCCCAACCAATGAAATCTGATATATTCTGATATTAGTGCTTTTAGCATAGAGCAAAATCATAAATTCTTTGAAAATTTTTCTTTTGCTAAATTGGTTACATAAAATAATGTCAAAAATAGACATTTGAGTTTAGCCAGGTCTCAAAGAAAAATTTAATCATATTTGTTTGGCTTAAGATGGTTAAACTTTTATACATTTTCATTTACATATGACTTTTTAACTAGTGATTATTGGTTAATCTTGCATTATTAATTCAGCCCAGGGTTTAGAAATGGTTTACTGGTGCTGATCTGTAACCAGTCTGGCTGTTTCTGTACCTCAATTCTGTTTTCTCTATGTCACTTTCTTTTTGAGTATGTGTCCATAAATCTTGTTCTACCATGTGGCTGTGCAGAGTCTCTCTGAACCTGTTCTGGTTTGGAAGCTGCACAATTCTTGAATCAGTCGTTCTTTGCTCAACTAAATTCTGTTAAATTAAAAAAAAAAGGTTTATTGGGGATGTCATTAGCCTAAGAGGTGAAAGGGTCAGGAAGTTCTTTAGATTGTCTTTTATTCTTTTATCTATGCATTTTTATTGCTTAAAACTCTACCTTTGTGAAATGCTTGAAAATATTTTTGCATTAAAATAAATAAAAGGAACATTAAGAAGATAATTCGTTTTAAGGTTCTACTAATTTGGAGAAAATGAGGACTTCAGTGCTCTTTCATTATTACTTCACACTTTCACCTGTTTTTCTTTTATTCCTATCACTACAATTTCTTAATTTGAAGTGTTGATAAATGTCTAAATGCCTCAATTTTTTGTTCAGAGGAAATATTTGGATTCTTATCTTCATTATAACAAATTACAGATACATTTTTATTCCTGTTTTTTTTTTTTTTTGAAATGGAGTTTCGTTCTTTCACCCAGGCTGCAGTGAAGTTGTGGGATCTTGGCTCACTGCAACCACCGCCCCCACCCCCCCCCCCCCCCCACGCCCCAGGTTCAAGCAATTTTCCTGCCTGAGCCTCCCAAGCAGCTGGGATTATAGGCACCCACCACCATGCCTGGCTAATTTTCATATTTTTAGTAGAGGCAAGGTTTTGCCATATTGGCTAGGCTCGTCTTGAACTTCTGACCTCAGGTGATCCACCTGCCTGGGCCTCCCAAAGTGCCAGGATTACAGGCATGAGCCACTGTACCCGGCCTCACATTTTTATTCTTCATCTACTTTGGTGATAATGATTCTCCTTCTTTGTTTTTCTAGTATGACATGATGGGAAGAAATCAGACTGCTGTGAGAGAAGAGATGATTCGCCTGGCAAACTACTTGGATAGTGTAAGTTGTATTTTCTGTCAATCAGGATGATTCTGTCCTATTCTGTCTCAGAACAGAACTTAAAAAGTGTCTCATTCTGAGTTCTGATTATCATTGGGCCTCAATCAATGACCCAGTCTTTTAGAGGTCTGTTTTGTAACTTTTTTTAATGTCTAAAGCAAAGTATCAGTATAGAAATACTTTGAGAAGAACAAGAGATTTCATATTAGCATCTACTTTAACTTCAGAGTAGCTAGGCTTAGGTGCTTTGGCATTTATGAAAAGGTTTTTGAATTTTTATTGAGTGCATTTTATTTTGAATAAGGCTGCCTTCTACCCTGAAAATATGATACGATGATAATTTGTGTGTGTGTGTGTGTGTGTGTTTGGTTTGAGATTTTTGGAGTTCATACAGTGGAAGATATTAAAGAATTAGATGTAAAGTAATTTTATCTACAAAGCTGACATGAACATCAAGCATGATGATGAGGATGATGTTAGCATTCAGTTGAATATTGACAGTGTGCTAGACACTGAGCTAAGTGCTTCGGACTTAACTAACCCATTTACTCCTTACAGTACCCCTATGAAATAGATATGAGTTCCACAGTCCTTTATCTTAAACCTCTGATGTACCAGTGATTATAATTTTAGAAAAATAGCGTGGTTCACTCTGTATTATATAATACCTGCGACAGGATCTTGGGATAGCACCTTGTAATCAGACTCATTGATATTTCTGCAGTGAAATATAGGAATATTTACATTAAATGGGATAATAGTGGACTGTGAATGGGCTTGCATTATATCAGGGCAAATTTTAGAACCAGTTTTACCAAAAACTTAATTTGCAGACCTTGTCGGATTTTACAATGGAAGATAATAAGGATTTTGAATCTCTGTTACTACCATTTTATGGTTGAGGAAACTGAGACTGTTGAGAGGTTAAAGTCTCATTATATATATATATTTTTGAGATGTGTCTTGCTCTGTTACCTAGGCTAGAGTGCAATGGCACAATCTTGGCTCACTGCAACCTCCCCCTCCTGGGTTCAAACAAGTCCCCTGCCTCAGCTCCCCAAGTAGTTGGTCTTACAGGCGTGCACCATCATGCCCAGCTAATTTTTGTATTTTAGTAGAGATGAGGTTTCACCATATTAGCCTGTCTGGTCTTGAACTCCTGATCTCAGGTGATCCGCCTGCCTCAGCCTCTCCGTGCCTGGCTGAGAGTCTCGTTATATTAGAGGAAAGATTTTTTTTTAGGTAGGTAAGTTTTAATTTAAGTAGCTGTGTTACTTTATGTGGTTAAAAGATTTTTCTCACATTCTTTATACTTTTATTTCTCTCTTCCCAGATGTATATTATGTTAAATATTCGAATTGTGCTAGTTGGATTGGAGATTTGGACCAGTGGAAACCTGATCAGCCTAGTTGGAGGTGCTGGTGATGTGCTGGGGAACTTCGTGCAGTGGCGGGAAAAATTTCTTATCACACGTCGGAGACATGACAGTGCACAGCTAGTTCTGTAAATGTTTTTTCTTTTAAAGTACTATTAATGAAATGATCAAAATAATTTTTGCTTATTTTCTTATATTAGAATTATATTCTCTTGAGGTTTGGTGGCATTCATTTAAATGAGGAAAACTTAGCTTGATGTGGCATTATGATAATAAGACCTCTTTTGAAACTCCGTTTTTCTTGGGTTTATATCCTCATTTTGGTATAGTGTGTTTTCTAGTTGCTTTTTGTGAACAGATACATGAAAAGAAAACATTCTGACCTTATGTGTGTCTGAAAATATGTTTTCCCAGTTTCAGAACAGAATTTAAACATTGCCTCAATTTGAGTTTCTAGGGCCTAAGTAACTCAGTATTTCCTAGACATGCTTTGAGTTTCTTTTGTCTTTTTTTTTTTGAGACAGAGTCTCACTCTGTTGCTTAGGCCAGAGCACAATGGCATGATCTTGGTTCACTGCACACTCTGCCTCCTGGGTCCAAGCAATTATCCTGCCTCAGCCTCCTGAGTAGCTGGGATTACAGGCCTGAGCCACCACACCTGGCTAATTTTTGTATTTTTAGTAGAGATGGGGGTCTCACCATGTTGACCAGGATGGTCTCGAACTCTTGACCTCAGGTGATCCACCTGTCTTGGCCTCCCAAAGTGCTGGAATTATAGGTGTGTCGCTGGGTATAAAATTCTATCCATGAAATCCTTTTTCCATGATTTCGAAGGCATTGCTCTTTTGTCTTTTTTG